GTGGAGACCTTTTTTTGATCGCTTTGATTTTTTGTCCCAAGCTGATTGAAGGCCCAACTTCCCAAACAAGAATGTGGGTTATCCAGTTTTTTAGCTTTTCTTAAAAGTGAAGACCTCATTTTTATTGACATGATTGCTTAATGAAACCGTTTTCGGCTGAATTTTAAAATTTTCAAGAAGAATATTAAGTTCACTTTCCTGTATGATATGTTAAAGGACTCCCTTATTTCCGGGTAAATTTCGAAAAAGGTGTTTTTCCAAATTAGGTTAGTTATAAAGCAAAAAACGGCATTATTCTATTCATTAAGCCCTCGAGGGGTTGAAGGCCTAACTTTCCAAATCATTTGGGAAAGCCGGTCATGACTGAACTTCGTTTTTTTTTTCCTTCAAAAATAATTCAAATTCTTGTTCATACATTACTGGATGAGAAAAACTGTCGCAAAATCCGAAAAAATATGTGAAATCAAGTCAAAAAGTGGTGCATTTGAGTTGATTGGCATGCCGTCGGTCCATTAACAACACAAGCTTTTTTTTTCTTTTTTTGCCCACAAAAATATATGTAGGAGGCACAACTAATTCCTAATTTTATTTCATTTTTTTTTCTCTCTCTCTTATTTTTCTTTGCCCGCCGACAAACCGACACCCTGGGGAGTATACAAGTGCCTCTGAAGATTACTATTCCAAGCCCGTTCCCAGTTCAATTTCCCCCTTTTTTGTCCAACGACGAAAAGAATAGAGAAGGGGAAAAAAGGCTGATAGGAGCGGATAAATTATTCGATGTGTGGGGCGAACTTCCTTACTCAAAAGTCAGCTCATGTCGGGACACGTCCCCCGACTAATTGGTTCAATTGCGGCAACATTTAGAAACACAAGTTTGTTCGCTTTGATGCATTTCTTCTTCTTCTTCTTCTTCTTATTTCTTCTTATTCAGCCAAAGATCTCGTTAGACTCTTCCATTTGGAAAACCAGACCATGACAGATCCTCATATTGCTCCCTCAAAGTTTCCAATTTGTGATTCCAGACCATCTCATCGATTTGGAAAACTCGGCCTTGATAACTCTAAGCTTTCCCGTCCATTTCTCCTGAACTATAGTTTCCTACGACTTTTTGAAACTTTCGATTCGGAAAACCAGACCACGACAAACTTTTCGATTTGGAGAACCAGATCACGACAGATCTTCCGATTTGGAAAACCAAACCATGACAGACTTTTCGATTTGGAAAACTAGACCACGACAAACTTTTCGATTTGGAAAACTAGACCATGACAGATCCTCATATTGCTCATCTTAAACTTTCGAATTTGGGATTCCAGACCATCACATCGGCTTGGAAAACTCAGCCTTGACAACTCTATGCTTTTCCGTCCATTTCTCCTAGACTACAGTTCCCTACGACTTTTTGAAATTTTCGATTCGGAAAACCAGACCATGACAAACTTTTCGATTTGGAAAACCAGACCATGGTAAAATTTTCAATTTTTAAAACTAGGACATCTTTTTTTAACTCGCCATGAAAAGCCTCAGATCATAACACTGTTCAGTCAGAGCAATCGTTAGACCTTCGATTTCGTAAAACCGCCTTTTCGATTTGGAAATTCAGGCCGTGAAGGCGTCAATGTGGCTCCCCTAGGATCAGGGTCTGAATTAGTAAAACTAGGCCTTCACCTTGATTTGGAAATCTAGACCGGGATAAATCTCAATTTTCGTGATACATATCTTTTGTTGAGCTTCTGGATTTGTAGATCTAGGTCATATTCTTGATTTGGAAAACTAGGTCATGGGAAGGTTCCTTGAAATGAGGCCTATTTTTTGAACTAGGTCTCCAGATAAATTTCAAGTTAAAAAAATTTTTAAAGAATTTACAGACTTTCCAAAGCTACCGTAACCAATATCGCTCGGTAAATAGTTCAAAAAACCAGAATTTAACCTTTCTACAAGTTCAGAGAACAACCGGATAGGCCCTAATTATTCCAAAACCCGAATCCAAAACGAGGAAAACCTCAAACCCTTCATTCCGACTTTGTTTTTTGTTATCTCAAACTTGTTTTCCCATTCACCCACACACACAGAGGGACACAGATATTGTTTTGTTTGGGTCCAGCTTTTTTTTTGTTCCTTTAACAAGCCTAATTCCATGATAATTCCATTATAACTAGTCGAGAAAAGGATTATTCGACTCATAATCTGGAGAATTTGCACAGGAACAACACGACTCCGTCATAAAGGACGGATTTCTTTGTTTTTTTCCGTTTTTATCAAATTTTTATCAAGCCTAGAGTCTGCCATGGACGTCTGAGAATTTTCGAATTCAAAAAGGAAGAAAAAAAGGCTAATTTGACCTATTCAGACGTCAAAAGTCAGAATAGGAACGAAATAACAACCTTTATAAAATTAGAAACACACGCGATTTTTTCCTTTCTTTCAAAATATACTTGAAAAATGAGATGTCTGCAAGTTCCCAGAAAAACCAATCCTTTCCGAAAAAAAAACCTGCTTTCCCAGGAGCGAATCTCTCGTTTTTGAATCGTTTTCTCAGTAGCCTTAGCCGGTTTTCGATTAATTTTTTTCACCTAACTTCATTTTTTTCCTGTCTGGGAATAATTATCAAACTACTTTTTCTCATTTTTCATTGAAATCTTCACGAAGAAAAATCTCATTGCTCATGTTATACTTTTTGTTTTTTTCTCAACGCCAAGCTCCGCCCCTGAGGCTTTTTTTTTTTCTCATTAAACTGTTTTTTTCTTATTTTTAATTAAGAGTTGAGAGATTGTGTACCTTGCGTAATCATGATCAAATCGCGTAATTAAATTGTCTCAGTGTTGCTCATGTTAGACCGTCATTTTCACCTTTTTTTTTAAATTTTCAATCGCTGCGAGCAAGTTTCAAAGGAGCTGTATTCGTAAAATTTCTCATTATTGCTCAGTATTGCTCATCTTTCAGCTTTTTTTTCTATTTTTCCTATCTCAAAAAAATATTTTTTTATTTTCTTTTTTTAGTCCTTTCCATCGAAATTATCATGTTACCTCAGTATTGCTCATTCTGGAGCTCAAATCTATTTCCCTTCAGAACTATGATTGCTACAAAGTCCTGCAAAAAGCCGAATTTCTCAGATTAGCTTAGTATTGCTCATTCTAGAGCTCAAATCTATTTTCCTTTAGAAGTTTGATTGCCACAAAATCCTGTAAAAAGCCGAATCTCTCAGATTATCTCAGTATTGCTCATCCTAGAGCTCAAATCTTTTTCTTTCAGAAGTTTTATTGCCACAAAATCCTGTAAAGAAGCCGAATCTCTGAGATTAACTCAGTATTGCTAATCCTAGAGCTCAAATCTATTTACCTTTAGAAGTATGATTGCTACAAAGTCCTGCAAAAAGCCGAATTTCTCAGATTATCTCAGTATTGCTCACCCTAGAGCTCAAATCCATTTCCCTTTAGAAGTATGATTGCTACAAAGTCCTGCAAAAAGCCGAATCTCTCAGATTATCCCAGTATTGCTCATGTTAGAGCTCAAATCTATTTCCCTTTAGAAGTATGATTGCCACAAAGTCCTGCAAAAAGCCGAATTCCTCAGATTATCCCAGTATTGCTCATGTTAGAGCGAAACGTCAGGGACATGAATAATTGGCCGCTTCCTTCCCCATTGTGAATCACCATATATTTTTTTTTCTTCAAGCCTAGAATTATAGGGAAATCCGAGTTTTCGCCTTGTACTTCCGAGATGTGTTTCTTTGAACCTTTTCTGAGAGAGGAAAATGATGACTTTTTTTTTTTGAATTCTACAACCAAAATTTTTTTCAGAGCTCTCAAAAACAAGAAAATTTTCAAATCCTCCCTCAGAAACCTAAGATAATCCATCTTTGAGCTGAACAATATAAAAAAATTGTTGAAAAAAAGGGAAATACTAATAAATTTATGGACCCACTTCTCATGGTGAAAAACAATGAGATAAAAAAATTTACAACAATCCATTTACCGACCCATTTTTCCAGCCAATTCATCCATTTTCCGTTTTGGAAAAACAGGCTGCTGTATCTCATTTCAAATCACCTGGTTTTTTTTTTTGCATTGATAAATATTTACGCGAAAGTATTTGAAAACCTTCCTGAACCCATATTGCTCATGTTACATTAGAAAAATCCCAGATCTGTGCTGCAAAAATGAGCATCATCTCTGTTGCTCATATTACAACCGCATTCCTCATATTACGTTTCTCCATTTTCAATACTCGTTCCACTTATTGCACACTGTTCAAGAATCAAGTCTGAGAGCTAATTTTGAAAGTTTATGACGTCATTGTATCAGAATATGGCTCAAATTAGCTCATTAACTTTTTCCAGTTGCTCCGCCCACATTTCACGCATTGCTCTTGTTAATCGTCCCTTGCTAATTTCATGACAAATCACTTTTCTACAAGGAAAAGTTTTAAAACTAGAGATCCGCGCACTTTCGAGTTTTTATTGCTCATCTTATCGTTCTAGCTCCGACTGAATTTTAAAGGTATTGCTCATGATAGCAAATCGTTGCTAAACAAGTGCATAGGACACTACCGAACTGAAAAATTGAATTCCTCTTCCTATAACAGAATTTTCGTTCAAAGTCCCAGTCTACAGCTCATCATTTTATCCTGTTTTTTAACGTTGTGGACGCACTTGGAATGGCTCAGTCACGGTCGCGCTGGGGTTGAGATTTACTTGCTCCACACTTCTCGATGTCATCGAGCGGAAGTAGTTTCTGGTCGGAGCCATGGATCAGGAGCTTCTATCGGCACTCTTACTGATCCGCCCATAATCCCACGGTATTGCTCATGGTAGCGAATTGTTGCTAAACTCATACATCGGACATGAAACTGAGAAAAATCAAACTCTCGAACATATAATTAAATATTTTTACCAACTCCCAGCTTTCGCTCATCATTTTTATCACCACGGACGCGCTTAGAATGTCTAGAAGCATCGCGGTCGCGCTGCGGTTGAGATTTACTCGCTCTAACACTTTTCGATGTCATCGAGCGAAAGTCGGTTCTGGTCGGAGCCATGGATCAGGAGCTTCTATCGGCACATTTCCTGGTCCGCCCACAGTCCCACGGTATTGCTCATGGTAGCAAATTGTTTCTAAGCTTCTAATTTTATCCGCCCACAATCCCACGGTTTTGCTCACGTTAGAAAGTGCTCCCCATTTTCTCATTTCCTAGTCATTGTCTTCCTGTTGTTGGTTATTAACACAACACACGGGGGGGGACTAGCCAAGCAGGAAATCGAGGGCGCCTCAATAAGACTCCGCCCACTCTTCTGTCGACCGCCGCCTTTTTTTCTTCGTTTTTTTTTGCCTTCCGTGCTCCATTGCTCCTCGAGTGACTCTTTGGGAAAATTGAGCCGAGCATTGCATTTCCCAGGCTTTGAGCCTCTGCCGCCACTTATATTGTTTTTTTGGGAGCTTGTTCTCGGAAATTGAGCAAATGCGAACAAATTAGCTCCTGTTCCTCATTTTACAGAGATTTTTTTTCTGGCGTCGTATCATATTCTGTATCAGAAGCTATATGCAAAAGATGTTCCGTAGCAGCTCTGGGTTGCTCAGAATAGACTCGTATTGCTCATGTTAAAGTTCTATTTTTTGAAAAAAATCTTTAAAGCTCAAAGTAAAGGTTACCTTTACTTTGAGCTTTAAGAATAATGAGTACTTTTAACTCATATCAACTCATGACTGCTCTTTATTGCTCATATTAGCGGCAATTACTTTTCTGATAAAAAAGTCACGTCTTCCCCTGTATCTTGAACGTTTGATGAATTACCCTGAGCTTCTAAATTTAACCAATATTCGCTCATTATTGCTCATGTTACGCTTTTTTCTTTTTCAAAAATTTCCAAAATTCTGAATTTTATTTTTCTGGCCATGTTACCTCCACGCATGAAAATTCCTAGAAAACCTATTTCAGTGGTAAAAAATCACCTGAACCTTTGTTCACCAATTTATTTTTTTGCAAAAATATCAATCTCATGACAATAACATCAGGAAACGAATTTCCGTCGTCCTCGCCCACAATTTCCCTTGAAAAAAAAATATCGCACTTTCCAGGAAGCCGGAATGTCGGCGTTGAAAGAATTCCTATATGAGATTTGTATTCCGGGGATCGGGTTGCTGTGCGTTTTGGCGGCGTTGCTCAACATTGCCGTTTTCATCTCAAGATATCATGTCAAATCAAGGTATTGATCATGTTAGAGCATTTTGGATTGACTGGTTATTAGTTTAAAAAAAAAATTAAAGACCGAACATCTTTCTGATTTATAGTCTGTGTGGCACGACTTGAAATTTCACTGAACGACATTCCGTTGTTCCGCTGCGTGCGGTCGCGAAGCTTTTTTGCTTTTGCAAGCCTCGGTAGAGTTTTTTTTTTTTGGTGAATATTGCTGGTAGATAGACTGTTTTACTGCGAACACATGGAAATCAAGTACTGAAATAAACGAACAAAAACTAGAAGCGTAACCGAGAATCGTAAAAGCGGAAACGCTTCGCGACCGCACGCAGAGGAACAGCGGAACGTCGTTCAGTGAAATTTCAAGTCGTGGCACACAGACTATACCTACCCATTAAGGAAACCTGAAAAAGTGGGTTTGGGAATCTAAAGAACCGGAGTTTTTGGGTGTGAAGCTCGAGAACTTCGGGAACCCTAGAAACCTCAAAATTTAAGTTTTTAGCCGCTCCGAAATTCAAACCTGAGATTTTAACTGTCAAGAAAAATTTCTAAACACCGTCAAGCCTTTAAAATCAGAGCCTGATAGTCCAAACTTGTAGTTTTCAACTTAACCGTCCAATTTTCGGTACTCCAGTGGATCTAGGGCCTCCGGGTCGTCAGAAATTATGATCTACAAGCCCAAATCTCAGTTTGAAGTTGGTAGTCTATTCCGAAAATATCCAGAAGATCCTAAGTTTCTCAAAAACCATCGTCTCCTATCTTACCAAAACACTATACTTCATTTTTCCAGTTTTGAGATCAACTTACTAGGGAACGTTCATAAAAGCGCATTTTTGGCCTAATTTGCTTATTTTGCACACTTTGGAGCTCCATAACTTGAAAAAAAGATCTATTGCGAGAAATATTTTTACTTTTTTTATACAATCAGAACGTTTTAAAGTGCACTTCAGCAGAATTTCATTAAAAAAATTCTACGGGGGGGCAGAAACGTTTCCTAGTAAGTTGATTTCAGGACAAATCAGGTAATTTGGAGAGATAGGAGACGTTGGATTTTAAGAATCTTTGAATCTCCTGGATTTTCGGAATTGACTACAAGCTTTAAACTGAAATTTGGGCTTCTAGATCATAATTTATGAGGACCCTGAGGGTTCAACATGGGGGGTAGCACTGGTTCCCTAGTTAGCCTTCTTTAAAGCTTCCAAACCCTATAAACTATCAAACAAGCTTCAAAATGACCCTTTTCCAGATCCTCCTCCCTGGAAATGACCTACTCATTAGCGTTATCCGACACCTGGACGAGCTTCGTCATCGCCCTTTCTTTATTCTGGAACAGTTACAAGCCGGTCGTCCTGCAGATCCGGCACAATACGTATTGTTTCCCGTTGACTCTCGAGGTATTTTGTTGTTTTCCGATAAATTTAGAGCTCCTGAGAAACGTAGAAAAAGCTTTCGTTGAGAGCTTGTTTTTTGGTTGATTTGATCTCAGTGGAGCAAAAAGCTTTTTATTCATATGAGTTTTCTGAGATTTGAACCTTTTGGACGCAATTCCCGTATTTCTAATAACCTGATTGAACTTTCATCTCAAAAAAATCTCCTGAAAAAATATTTTTTTAAAGATTATCAGACCAAATTTTGAAATTTTTGAGCAAAAAACATTTTTTTTTAACCAAAATTCAAGTCATTTTTTGTGCAAAACCTTATTTTCCTACCCTATCCCTTCTCAGAACCTCACAAAAAGAACAATAGTCGAAAAACCTTGTCATTAGGAAGAAAAAGACTCCAACGTCACCAAGCTTAAGCTGCAGCTTCACTTCCGTCCTATTGTTTCAGAAATGGATATAAAATGGAACCCGGTATTTAGTTATACGAAAAAGGAAGTTCTTGAATGTCGCTGAAGATAATAACAGCGCGAAATTCGGAAAATAAATTAGAGAGAACTTTTTGCAAAAAAAAAACGTCAACAGGATCCGAACCTGTGACCTTTTTAGTGGGTTTCAAGACTATAAGCCATTTTTGCAAATCGTATTTTTTCTATCAGAACTCTCGGAAATCAAGTAAACATCTCACTATGACAAACATACTATAAAAAAAATTTTTTTGCAAAAAAAAAGTCAATAGGATCCGAACCTGTGACCTTTTGAGTCGAAATCAAAGCTCTTAGCCACTTCTCCAAATTATATTCCTCCTATCAGAACTCTTGAAAATAAGTGAACGTCTCACTCTCGAAAATTTTCTATATAAAACATTTTTTGCAAAAGAAAAATCGTCAACAGGATCCGAACCTGTGACCTTTGAGTGGATATCAAAACTCTTAGCCACTTTTTCAAACTTTATATTTTCTATCAGTCTTTCTAAAGTCAGTGAAACGTCTAACTCTGGCAAAAAAATTGTTATAAAAATCTTTTTGCAAAAAAACGCCAAGAGGACCCGAACCTGTGACCTTTTTAGTGGAAATCAAGACTCTTAGCCACTTTCCCAAATCGTATTTTTTCTATTCTCTATCGGAACTCTCGAAAATCAAGTAAACATCTCACTATGACAAACATACTATAAAAAAAGCTTTTTTTGCAAAAACGCCAAGAGAATCCGAACCTGTGACCTTTTCAGCGAGAGTCGAGGCTCTTAGCCACTTTTCCAAATCGTATTTTTTCTATTCTCTATCGGAACTCTCGAAATCCAAGTAAACATCTCAATATGATAAACATACTATAAAAAGCTTTTGCAAAAAAAAAAACCGCGAAGAGGATTTGAACCCGTGACCTTTTTAGTGGAAGTCAAAGCCCTTAGCCGCCTACCAAGTAACATTCTCAAAATAAAAAAGCCAGAATATTGAGAAATTTTTTCGCATCTTTTAAAAAATTCTGGAAAGGGGCAAAGTCTTTGTATGAATTTATGAAAAGAACGACCTTCTCGAGAACTTTTTTAAAAAGCATTCCTGTTCAGTTATTCTATCCATATTTTTTTCAGCATGAAATATTCATAAATGATGTCTTTTTTGAGTTTTTTTTAGGCTAAATTTATGGATTATCCAGATTTTTCGACCTCGTTGATCAAACTATATAACATGGAGAACGATGATCAGTTGGTCTAGTGGCTAAGAATCTTCTCTACCATCCAAAAGGCCGCTGGTTCGACTCCTCTGAGCGTTTTTTATATTCTCCTCAAAGAAAATTTGTTGGTCATGGCTAAGGATCTTCTCTATCATCTAAAAGGTCACTGGTTCGACTCCTCTGAGCGTTTTTTATATTCTCCTCAAAGAAAATTTGTTGGTCAAGTGGCTAAGGATCTCCTTCATCATCCAAAAGGTCACTGGTTCGACTCCTCTAAGCGTTTTTTTATATTCTTGTCAAAGAAAATTTCCTAGTCAAGTGGCTAAGATCTTTCTCAATTATTCAAAAGGTCACGCGTTCGATTCCCCAAAGCCAAACATTTTTGCTAATTTACTTTTTTTTTGCTTCTTCATGCATCAGCTGATGCAATACTGGTCAAGTGGCTAAGCTTTTTTGTTTGCATAAAAAAGATCCCGAGTTCAATCCCCAAAGTTATTTTTTTGTTTCATTATCTTAAAAGGACTTCCTAAAGCATCAGCTGATGCAATGGCCAAGTGGTTAAGGTCCTACGCTCTAGTTGAAAAGGTATCGGGTTCAAGTACTCTCAAATAATGACAAATTTTCGTTGCATTTTGTGGAAACCTAAATGTTACAAGTGTTCATAAGGTATTGAACGTTGAAAAAAGGTAAAATTATTGAAAGTTTAAAATTATTCTAACTCCATTCGTTCAAGTCGAAAATGTAGCTACACCTCGAAAAATTGAGCTACTGGGAAAAAAACTCTAGCGAGCCCTTAAGAGGTCCCTCAAAAACGACTAGGAGAGGCACTAAAGTGGTCACTAAAACCACCTTTACAGAAGCCACTAAGTTACGTCTTATAGGCCTCGTTTTTCCTCCTAGCGATCTAGTAGACTTGAAATTCTTCCCATTAAAGGGACCACTAGACTACTTAACTGGCCTTGATCATGATCTTCACAATTTTTAAGTGGCCCCTCAACTTCAGCCACTGATTGAACTACTCAACTGGCCACTTGAACGTCAAACCCCTTAAGAAACCCCTTAACTCCAGCCTCTAATTGGACTACTCAACTGGACCCTTACACGTCAAACGTCAAGAACCTAAAGAGGTCCCTTAACTTCAGCCACCAATTGGACTACTTCAGTGGCAACTTGAAAGTTAATACCCTTAGGAGGCCCCTAACTTAAGCAACTAACTGGACTACTTAACTGGCCACTTGAACGCAAGACCTTAAAGAGGTCCCTTAACTTCAGCCTCCAATTGGACTACTCAAGTGGCCACTTGAACGTCAAAACCCTTAAGAGGCCCCTTAACTTCAGCCTCTAATTGGACTACTTAAGTGGCCACTTGAACGTCGGAACCCTTAAGAGGCCACTTTTCAATTTTTTTAGAAGTCTAATTTCCGTGCGCTTCGAGGCATGCATAGGGAAAAAAAATGAAATACGTCCATCAAAACGGAAAAAAAAAGGGTAAATTAGTCTAGACAATGTCTATTTGGGAACCATTACAAATGAGGTTTCAATAGTTTTAGGGCTTTGAAAGACGTCAGAAATTAAAATCAACTTAAGATATTTTCAATAAGAATCGAATATCCACTACATAGATCCTAACCGTCTGCACTTTAAAAGCCAAAAAAGTTTCAGGCATTCCGGACCGGCGGACTCCTGACCGGAATCTTCCACCTGGTCGCTTTAGCCTTCGCTCATTACCTTCAAATCCGACGACCCTTCGATCATCAGAAGATCCTACCGCTACGGATCGTTCACCTGGTCATTTTCCTGATTTGGGCCGTTCCGCCGCTCGGCCTGATGGCCTATTTTGGCAGTTGGGAGGGACAAGGCTACAGGTGGGCTTTTGAAATGGAAAAAAGGTTTTTTGAACAGGTAAAATGATGTGGGACTAACACCACGTTTGATATAGGTTAAAAAAAAAAAATTAAAAAACGGCTATTTTTGAGACATTTGTGCCCCATTGCTAACTAAACCTGCTTCTCATTTCAAAATAGTTTCAATAGATTATTTCAATTCCCAACGATTTAAAAATGAGCTCATTGTCAATGGAGCACAATTGACTAACAAAAATGGCCATTTTTTCCGATTTTTTTTTGTAGAACCTGCTCTACGGCTATTTTCTAAAAACGACATGAGATTAATTAAGCCCCGGGTTGTTTTTTTGGTCCGCATTTGGAATGGCTTAGAGGGTCGGAGTTTGAATCTGGTGTGCTGCCTACCCGCGCGCGGAAGTAGTTTTAAGTCGGGCGCAGCGCCTAAAAATCAGCCCGGGGCTCAATTTAACTCATGCAGTTCATAGAAAATAACCGTAGCGCAAATTTCACAAAAAAAAAATCGGGTCAGCAAAAATTGGCCATTTTTGTTTGACAAATGTGCTCCATTGAGAATGAGCTGATTTCTACCAACTTTCAAAGCAACTATATAACTTTTTTGATTTTTTTCATGATTATAATAATTTTTAGAAACGAATCCTGCATGGGCATCGCCTTCTACGAGAACTTCTACTTCCGGTCCCAAATTTCTGTTATAATCATAATCCTAATCATCACTACCACCATTTTCTACGTCAGGATGCTCCAAAAAGTCAGCGAGGTTCGTAAAAAAAAGCCTTGAGGCTTCGAAAATTGAATAAGTTTCAGGTTAGGACAAAAACAGCCCAGGCTACTTCGGCACGTGGCCGTCGGACCGTTGTGACGGCGGTCTTGATTTTCGGGACATTTTTGTTTGGCTGGATGCCAGCCAGTATCCTGTTCATCCTGACTGCCGAAGGGATGCCTCTCTATCAGTGCGTATAAATCACTTTTTGGTTAATCCATGGTCGCATTTGGAATGACTCAGAGTGTCGCGCGTTTATATCAGATGTACTGCCTACTTGAGGCAACGGCGGAAGTAGTTTTGAGTCGGGCTCTTAGTTTGTGTAGCTCATATATAGACCTTACTTAAGGGGTCAGCGCGGAAGTAGTTTTGAGTCGGGCGCATGGTATTAGTAGTTCATATCTACAACCTACTTGAGGGATCAGCGCGGAAGTAATTTTAAGTCGGTTGCATGGTATAAGTATGACATATCTAGAGCCTTCTTAAGGCATCACCGCGGAAGTAGTTTTGAGTCGGCTGCATGGTATAAGAAGGTCATATCTACAGCCTTCTTAAGGCATCAACGCGGAAGTAGTTTCAAGTCGGGCGCTTGGTTTGTGTAGCTCATATCTACATCTTACTTGAGGCACTCGTGCGGAAGTAGTTTTGAGTCGGGCGCTTGGAACTAGTAGATCATATTTACATCCTACTCGGGGCACTCGTGCGGAAGTAGGTTTGAGTCGGTTGCATGGTATAAGTAGGTCAGATCTAGATCCTACTATGAGGGCCAGCGCGAAAGTAGTTTCAAGTCGGGCGCTTTTTGAAAATCGCTACACTTTGAGTCATTCCACGTGCGGCTTCGGCCCTAAAGAAGAATCTCTACTAAAACGCTTCTTTTTTTTCAGCAAACAATCCGTTTGGATCAACGTTCTATCAATCGTCGTCTTGGTCAATATTATGGTCAAAACGCTCACGAATCCGATTATCTACGCGACAAGGTTAGCATTAGACTTATGAGGAAAAAATATAGAAAAAAAAATTGAAAATCCCCCCGCCCCCCCAAAAAAAAAAAAAGTTTATCATTTCCTATAAACGTCACAAAAAAGCTTCTATAAAGCAGAAACATATCTTCGCATTTTCCAAACCTCAAACTCTCATAAATCCCGCAAAAACCTCCACACCAGGATCCGAACCTCTGACCCTCCTCACTTCATTCAAACATCTTACCAATCGACTAAAACCTATTTTCAAAAAATTGCAGAATACCCGAGATCCGACAGTTCGTCCTACACAAGCTCCTATGGAAAATCGTCCCACTCCGAGAGGTTCAAAGGCGGAAAAGTGAATTTGCGCCCCTTCGCGAGAGGACACAGCTGACGTCAACTCAAGTAGTCTAGCCCTACCGTAATCCTACAGTAACCCAAAAATAATCAACTTTGCTTGTAAAAAGGTCCTTGTTATCAATATATTGTAATGTGAGCTACGGTAGCTTTTGAAAAATTTTGATACTTTCCAATAACCCTACAGTAATCCTACAGTGACCTAGGAAAACTTAGAGAATCCGACTCAATCTTCTCATTTACTCTTATATGTACTGTAGGCCACAGTATCCCTTAAAATTCGAATTACGGTACCTTGTGATAAAATGCAAACTTCCTACAGTAGTTTTGGGAAATGCTCCGTAAAACCATCGATTTTGCATCTAAAAGCTCCTTCTATTGTACAGTAGCCTACAGTACTCCCCATCAAATTACGGTATTTTTTAAATTAATGTGATATTGATAATTCCTGCAGTAACCCTAGAAAAAACTAAAGATAACCTTGAAAATATGTATAAAAATCTTCCCCAAAGCTACAGTACCCTACCGTGACTTCCCCAAACTACAGTACCTTCTAAAAGATTGTGATACTCTCTTGATTTCAAAACAACCATATGCGATACAACTACGGGACCCACTTTATGTGTAAATTTTTCCATTGAAATAAAATTGTCTTATAGCTACAGTACGATCCAAAAGCTACAGTACACTTCAAAAAAGGTTTATAAAAAGAGGAAAAAATCAATTTTCGGCGACATGTTGGTTTCCGGCACGGATATTGGCAGGGATTGCTTTCCGCAAATGCTCGATTTCTCCTTTCATTTGCCTTTCCTTTTCGGAAAGAGCCTGAAAATAAAGTATTGATCGATTAGCCATGGAGCGCAGAAGTTACAATAGAAACCGCCTGATAATTTTTTTTATCCGGTAAATGTGCTCTATGAATAGAGCTACTTCGATTTTTTACTTTCCAGCAGGAGTCCGGAAAGAGTTTTTATTCGAAAAATCATAAAAAAAAAATCGATTAGCCATGGAGCGCAGAAGGGACAAGAAAAACCGTCTGGCGATTTTTTTTAAATGTGCGCTCCATGGCTGAAAATTACAGCCACTTCGATTTTTTACTTTTATGGAAAAGCCGAAAAAGGTCTTTTTTTTTCGAAAAATCATAAATATTGATAGATTAGCCATTGCGCAGAAGGAGCAAGAAAAACCGCCTGTCGACTTTCCTAGAAAAAATGCGCTCCCTGGCTGAATAATCACAGCTATTTCGATTTTTCATCTTTCAGAAAAAGCCTGAGAAAGATTTTCTTATTCGAATGATCATACAATTTGATAAATTAGCGATGGAGCGCAGAAGTGACAAAAGAAACCGCCAATCGATTTTTTTTTTAGAAAATTAGCGCTCTATAACTGAATAATTACAGCTATTTTTATCATTCACCTTCCAGAAAAAAGCCCAAAAAGGTCATTTTATTCGAAAAATCATGGAAATTGATCGATTAACCATGGAGCGTAGAAGGGACAAAAGAAACTGCTTTGCGACTTTTCCAGAGGATATGCGCTCCATGGCTAAATAATTAACACCTATTTTGATCATTCACCTTTCTAGATAAGCCTAAAAAGATTTATTTATTCGAAAAATCATAAATATTGATAGATTAGCCATGGAGCGCAGAAGGACAAAAAACCACTTTATGATTTTTTTCCCCGGGAAAATGCGCTCCATGGCTAGAAGAATACGGAACAATTATTTATTTTTTTGAAAATTTAAAGAATTATACCGAAAATTGAGCTTCCCCTAGTTTGATCCTTTCACTGAGCTCCTGGACGGCTTGCGTTTCTCGGTCCAATTCGACCTTAATTTATAAAACAATCCAAAAAATGCAATGGTCGCATTTGGAATGGCTTATCGCGTCGCGGTCCAGAGTCGACTTGAACTTCCCCTTCTATTTTTCGGACATGTTTCTATGCCGTCGCGCACAAGCCGTTTCCGGTCGGGGAAATTCGAAAAAGCGACCGTTTCGCAACCGCCACGCGTCGAGCCATTCCAAGTGCGACCATCTTCAGAGTTATGAGAAAAAAGTCCAGTTTTATAGTTTCATAAAGAAAATTTTAAAAATCCGAGGATTTTTGTACCTCCAGCATTTTGACTTCATTGACAACGGCGACCAGCCGACAGACTTCTTGTTGCTTTTTGTCTGGAAAGCCCATTTTATTACAAATTTTCAGCGTTGAAACAAATTTTTTGAACTACTCAGGAAGGCCACAGTGATCCCTATAGGGGTTTAGAGCTTCACTTTCAAGCCCCTGAAGCTCAAGTGGTCCCTATAGCAGTTAGGGAGAAAATTTTACCTTTGAGAAACAAAAAGTGCTCCCTATAGTGGTTTAGAGTCTGACTTTTAAGCCCTTGAAGCTTAAGTGATCCCTATCGGAGTTAGGGGAGAGAGCAGTACCTATGAGGGACAAAAAATTGCTCCCTGTAGGGGTTTAGAGTGTGACTTTTAAGCCCTCGAAGCTTAAGTGGTCCCTATAGGGGTTAATGGAGGAAACCTTACCTGAAAGGGAAAAAAAGTGCTCCCTATAGGGATTTAGGGGTCTGACCGCCAAGACAATATAACATAAGTAGTTCCTTAAGGAGGTATGAGAGAAAAATGACATATGTGGGACAAAAAAGTGCTCCCTATAGTGGTTTAGGGTCTTATTCCTGAACCCCTGAAGCTTAAGTGGTCCCTATAGGGATGTTTTAATTCTTAGTTCCGGTTTGAAAATTAACTAGACAAACGGCACAAAAAATTACACTTTTGAAAAGTTTAGTGGCCCCTATAGGGGAGGGGAAGTGGCTCCTTGGTTCCCTATAGGGTCCCCTTATGAAAAATTCAGAAAATAAAAAGTAGACAAGAAAAACCAACCAACAGCCGTTCGAACTTTATCCGTTAGCTCGTCGATCTGAAAATTTATTTGATATGGATCATTTCACTGTTTCGTTGAAGTTTTAAAAGTTTTAATCAAAAAAAATTTTTTTTCTTCAAATTTTTCAAGTCCTTCTAAAAACCGAAAAAAACAAGAATATTCCCACTTTTTTTAATGAAATCCTGCCATTTTCAATCCATTTTCCTTCATTTAAGCTCCCAAATGATCAAAAAATCCAACTAGAAAGGAAAATTTTGAAATTTCTCCATTATTCCTGTAGCATTTTCCGTTTTTTCAAACTCTCAGCTTCAAAATCTCAATTTCAGCTTTTTAAAAATTTAAAAAAATAGAAAAATTCCCAACAAAAAAACCACACCTTTGTCGAATGAACTCCATGACTTTTTGGCTCTTCTACGCTCCCATTTTCCGAAACTAAAAAAATTTGAAACTTTCCAGAATTTCATTAAACTTCCTTCACATGGAAGTGGATTCAAAAAGCAAAAAAAATCTATTTTTTATTTAAAATTTCAAGATAATTCAAATAATCACCATCCGATTGAGAGGTCGGCGTTGAAGGGGCCGAGGCTGGAAATTTTCAATTTTTCCAATTTATGCGAAATTTGCTGTGAGCATCGGTACAAGGACAAGCTAATCTTCGAAATTTGAAAAAAAGAATAATTGGAAACGGCAGAGTGGTCCCTATAGGAGTCATTTTATATTTTTTTATTTTTTTGGATTTTTTTCTTGTTGCTTGGAAAGGAAATGCTTCAGCAAGACTAGCACGTCCCCCTATATGGGTCACTTTTAAAGCTTTAGTGGTCCTTATAGGGGTAAGGGGTCAAGTGGGCCCTACAGGGACCGCTGTGGCAGTATTAAGTAGGCTACCAAAAACCATGTAATTTCTATAATTTTCAATGAATCTTCCAAATATTTCACAATTTTCTGACTTCTTTTATTCAAGTTCAACACAGTAACAGTCTTCAAAAACCTCTAACAACAAAAAAAAAACCAACAATTTGTGGAGCAAGAGCTCGTAGGAGTGCCGTTTTTACTATCAAGCGGTGCGCTACTGAAATAAATATTCGAATTTTCATCAGATTCAACTTTTTTCTGATAATATTACGACGAAAAAAGCAAGAGAGAAACTTTTTGAATTGATTTGAGGCATTTTTTGAGCTGAAAAATATTTTCAAAAAAAAGGGGTTCTTGTCACGAAAACTTGGGAACTTCCAGAGAGTACTGTAGCTTGAATAATTTTTTCTTAGATACTCAAGAAAGCTCGGCCTTTTTTTTAGAGCGTATCTTGAGCATAAGCCTTGAAACCAACTTTCAAAAGGGGGATTTAAAAAAAAAGGGTCTTGACACGAAAATCAGAAAAAGTTCAGAAAGTACTGTAACTTGAATAATATTTTCATAGATACTCAAGAAGGTTCGGAAATTTTTGTCTGGAATTTTTTTCTTGTGCCCAAGCCTCGGAACGAAGTTAAAAAGATGATAATTTCAAAAACAAAATGGGTCTTGACACGAAAAATCAGCAAAGTTTCAGAGAGTACTGTAACTTGAATAGTTTTTTTCTTAGGTACTCAAGAAGTTTCGGAAATTTCGTTTTTGGAATTTTCTTGAGCCTTAGCTTTGAAACAAAGTTAAAAGGATGATATTTTTAAAACAAAATGGGTCTTGACACGAAAATCAGCGAACGTTCAGAGAGTACTGAAACTTGAATAATTTTCTCTTTGATATTCAAGAAAGCTAGGCCTTTTTTTGGAACGTATCTTGAGCCTAAGCCTTCAAACTAACTTTCAAAAAGAAGATTTTAAAAAAAAGGGTCTTGAAACGAAAATCAGCGAACGTTCAGAGAGTACTGTAACTTGAGCAATTTTTTTTCTTAGATACTCTAGGAAGCTCGGAATTTGCTCCATGAGGTTGAAAATCTGTTCTGAATCGAAAAATGAGGAAAAACCTACACAGTTTTGACGCGAATCGACTGCAGAGGCGTTGGCGCTGGAGTTTCTTTCCAAATCGTCTTGAAAATAACGAAAAACTCTCAGAAAACTTTCCAATGTTACTCATATAGCCTTTTCAGATTTTGAATATGGAGTCGTCGCTCAAGCTCCGCCCCCAGTATACTGTATAACTTTGTTAGTCTTTTTCTTGAAAAATCAGAAGGCCTCTTTTGAAGCCAGGGTTAAATGGACTATGCTTAAGTTAGTCTATTTTTTGGTTTTATATGAAGTCTTTTATTCATCTATTCGATTTTTCCAACCTTTCTATCCGTATCTTCTCCAGGCGCCGCTTTACCCTGAACAATAAATCGATGTCGATGATGATATTTGGCTCCATCTATTAACATCACGTTGACCTGAACCCTACTCCGTTACAAAAAAGGTGGAATTAGGAATTTTAGAGTGGTTCCTATAGGGGTTAGGGAGAGAAACAGCCTCTGTAGGGCCGAAAAAGTGGTCCCTATAGGGGAAAAATCAAGGTGGTCACTATAGGGGTTTAGGGTCTGACCCCTCAGCCCCTAAATCTCAAGGGGTCCCTATAATGGTCGTAGAGGTTACTAGAGTGAACGCCATATAAGGTTCGGAAAAGAAACCTCAAGCGATTCCGTAGGCGCTTTTCAAGAACTCTAGAGATCCCTATAGAGGGCCCTTGGATAGTCCCCTCTGACCCCTATAGAGGCCACCACTAAAGCTTGCAAAAGCGACCCCTATAGGGGCCTTTCAGTTTATCAAGTCTGTCTTTTTAATTTTCTAAATGAACAGATTTTTCAAAAATTTGTCAAACTAAAAATCACTAAAGGGAGGTTATCAAGTTATTTTCTGAGTTACCCCTCAAGGTTCAAAACAAACCTGGAGCGACTCCGTGGGCCCTAAAAATCCCTTGCTCGGGGAAATGACATAACGCGTCGGCGCGTTGGTCAGAACTCTCCAGGCGATTCGGCCATGAACCGAATTTCTAGAAAATAATCAATGATCTGAATCAGTCAAGAAAAATGATGACAAAATTAAAAAAGAAAGGAAAAACTCACGTCAACTGAATTTTCCTGTCCAAGACCTCACCAGCTTTCCCGTGGAAATCGAGAACGGTTGGATTAACCTTTAAATAAAAGCTTTTCATTCAAAAAAAAAAAGCTTCAGGTGAGATCAATGAACATTATGATCTTACTGTAATTCATACTAGACTTAAAAAAACAAAAAGATTACTTTTTGAACATTTTTTTACCGTACAACTGATTTTTCTTTTCAGATGTTCTCTTAAAATACTGACATGAGCAAACTTTTTTAAACTATCGTGAACTCACTATATTCTGATTACAGTATAACTACAGTATCCCAAAATAGAACACTCAGCAGAAAATAATAAAAAAGCAATATTTTTTCTTCATTTTTTCTTATAGAGCTTCTATCGAAAAAAAAACATGAGATTTCTACGTCTACCGAGCTAGCGTATCTACAGTTACATCAAATTACAGTAAAGCTACAGTAAAGCTACAATTACAGTATGTCTAAATAAAAACCTAATAAAGATAACATCAACGCTTTTGCCTTTTCTAGTTTTTTAGCCCTCCACTTGCTTTCATTTTCTCAAAGAAGTTAAGTTTCTAAATGTCTTAATTACTGCAAACCCTTGTTACAGTATCCCTAAAGTAATAAAAAAAAACATAAAATATAGTGAACTTGAATAAAACGCGCAGGCGCGACGTGTGTGGCCGGCGACGGTCCCGTAATCGTTGGCGTTCCTCGTTTCATATTTCTTAAAAAATATCCATCAAATTGCCAGCTACTGTTCAAAAATACATTAAGAAAGAATCTATGAACAAAAAAATCACAAAAAATGCAATGAAAAACAGTCTTAAGCCCAGTTTTTCCATAAGGTTCGATAACTATGACGCATTCATTCTCAATTATGAGGCGATCACTGTCCCCAACTTTTCAATATCCTTTCGAAAATCCTAAAAAAAAAACTAGTTTGACAATAATAAACGAAAAAAAAAAATTGATACGGACCGCCTTCTTTGTAAAAATTTTTTTTCAAGGAGTTACAATCATTATTACGCAGGAAATTGTTCTATTTTCTTTAAAAATCTCGTAAATTTCTCCAATCAAATGCCTAAAGTCGCTTGAATTTTAGTTTGAATCGATCAGAAATAGCAAAAAGGCGTTTTCAAGTATTTTCAATGAGTTTGAAATATAGTCAATGTTTCCCGACTTGAAAGGCGAGGGAGGCGAGGCAGGGGGCGGGACGCGTAGCGTGTGCGTTCGCGGTTCTTGGCACGTGTTCAATTCAACCGCCATCGACTCTTTGAAAAAAACCCGTTTTTTTCGCTTTTTTTCAATCCTTTTTTTCAATTATTTATTGATTATTTTTTTATGTGTGCATCAAAAAAAAAAGAAAACATTGAAAAAGAGCGGTTGCCGAGTTTTTTAAATAGTCGGCGACAATTCAATTGAACTCGTGCCAAGAACCGCGAACGCACACGCTACGCGTCCCGCCCCTTGCCCCGCCTCCTTCGCCTTTCAAGTCGGGAAAAATTGACTATACTAAATTGCTTTTTTCTTTTTCAAATTCAGCGTTCAAAGGTTTTCAAAGTGGCAAAAGCATTGAAAAAAAACCTTGCGCCTCCAAAAATTTATTAAAAAGTAGGAGAATGACCTTACCTTGAGACAATCAAAGAACAAAACTACGAAAAAACAATGAACGAGTGAGAAATGAAGTGAAGCGTTCGTTCTTTATGAATTGTATCATTTTTTCATTCCTGAATCTATTTCGACCCATTGATAATCACAACCTTGCAAATTTACATGAATTTTGAACCTTCAAAATAATGATAATGACAAAAAATGGAAAGACTTTAATAATGGACCCGAAAATGAGGGGAAACTGAGATATCATCGATTATTCTTGGCCAAAAGTCGTTTGTAAGCCCAGAGACGACGGCGGAACTCGTCGAGGTCCTTGTTCCGCGGCACGACACAAGGTCCTCGGGTTGGATCGGCTTCGATGGTCCTTTCAGGGCAGTACATCGTGTTCAGCTTCACCGTGTCCCATCTGAAGAGGAATTTTCTGCTTTTTTTCGAATTTCTAGAACTTTCACGTTTTTTTTAATTGTAAAGTTTCCGAGTTGGTAGCAGTATCAGAAGTAGTCAAGTTTTCAAACTTTTCCAGTTTATTTTGAGCTTTGAAAGCTTAAGCTTCGACTCAAAGGTCTAGCATGAGTATCGCCTGACCATCGAAAGAGCCGCTACCGTTGCTTGCGGCAATGTAAAGTATTTTCTCTACAAACTGAAAAAAAAAGATTTAGGTTTTGAAGGTACTCTAGTACCGTAACTAGGAGTACTGTAGTATTTCTGTGCCAGAGCGCCGCAGTGTATGCACACGACACACTACATTTTACGGAAAAAATGGCGGGCCGTCGCCAAAAAAAACGCCGTACCAGAAAAACGGACTATGCTATTGAAATTAATGGTTATTATAAAAAATCTTAGCTTTTTAGAAGAGTATTTCTGAGAGTTTCATGAAGTTTTTCTTGAAAAATTCACTAATTTTTTCAAAAAATAATTTTAAAACAAACTTGGTCAAGAGTCCGACTCGCTGGCCAGCGCCAATATCCGCATCATTTCGAGCTGGACAATACTGCGTCAATCGATATTTTTCCCTGGCCCAAAGGGGAATCGTGATACTTTCCGGATCGAAAGGCCACTGAAGCTGGAGAGGATTGAATCCCGGCTGAGAGACCAGTGGAACGTCGCTAAAATTAGCAATTATTAGATAAAATGAGAGATGGAACATACGCGACAGCCTGCACGTAGGAGCTGGCGTCAGGCCGGTAAAGCTCGCTTTTTAGACCTGAAAAAAAAAATCCTACATCATATTTTCCTTGGGAAAGTTACCCATGAACCTGACGAGTTGGTTCATAACAATCCCTCTCGAATGATTGAAGTTTGTTGGAACAAATGAGGCCTGGGCAATATAGAGAATCGTCCGGTCAACGACTCCTTCAACTGTGGCGTCAGAGTAGGCTGTAATATACTATAAATAACACAATATACTCTCAAAACATTGAAAACAAAGGGAATTGATTTGAAAAACTCGATTGAGCTTTTTTTTACAATTAGTTCGAAAAAGCTAAAAAAAAATATAAAAATAGTTTACTATGACTTATAAGGCTCAAAATAATGAAGACGTTTGTTTAGAATTTAAAGTGAGACTTGAAAACAAGTGAGGTTAACTCTATGAATGTATATAAAAAAATTTCAACCTGAACAGAAAAAAAGTATATTAAAAAAATATCAAAAAAATATTAAAAAAACAAACCCGCAAATTTGCCAGACTTTCGAATCAACACGTGGGG